CTCAGACCTCTTGCCTTTGCTTTATCTAGTTAATCCGTATTTGAGGGAAATCATCACATAAAAAGCGAGCTCACATTGAAGGCTTAGGTTTTCTTCATCTTTTATCAGTTCTTTAAAATACTAGTAGGGGGATAAGATTAAAGAATGTAACTTTCTGTCACTTATCAGAAGGGGGGGGTGTTGGGGGGTGTCTCTGTCTACCTCCTATGTGTACATTTTGTTAGGCAGATCTTGGGAACTTCCATGACCAAGAACAAAAACATACGAAATTTAAGATGCTGTCCAAGATTCTGAGCTGGAAGTGAATTCCAAGTTCTTCCCAAAGGCGCGCTGATGGGAAACCGAGCAGCTTGTGGGGGGTCACGGGGGCGGGGGGCAGCGGATGACAGTGGCGAGCTGTGAAGACCTGGCTGGTACTCCTGCCTGTGTCACCAAGTCAGCTGTCTGACACTGAGCCTCCTTGGCCTTGGCCCCTTAGTCACCAAGCATTTGTTAAGTGTTGATTCATCTTTAAAATGAGCGTGCTATCTGCACCTGGTTCATAAAGTGGTTATTAAAGAAGCAAAGAGAGCGCCTCAGAACACTTAGTATTTTCTGTTGGTGAGCGGTGAGGAAGCTTTCCTGCCCCTTCACTAACTCGGGTGCCCAGAACTGACTATAATCCTTGGTCGGAGTTCTGAGGGGACAGCACATGGCACAACTCACCCCTCCCTGAGCTCTCTGTCCATCCATGCCTCCCTCAGCTTAAATTTAGGAAGCTGGGTTTGGGGGCTTGTTGTTTTCCCATGTACAGACTTGAATTTCAAACCATCAAGATCTTTGGTATCCTGATGCTATTCTTGACTCAGTTATTTCCAGCTTTTGTCACTTGCAAATCAGGTTTGTTTTGAGTACCACCTGTAACCTCTTCAATTCAGACTGGAGTCGGAAAAAAGTGGATGAAAATGTTATTTATTACAATGAGTCCGATTTTAAAAGCGGCTCTCTTAACTTGCTGTTTGTTGTTCAGGTGAAGAATGTGATCTACCATGCAGTGAAAGATGCGATTGCAATATTAAAAGCCAACGAATCTGGCTACAGCAAACCTTAAAATCCAGAGGCTAACTGGAACTGAACTAGTGGCAGCTGTTGGGAGTTGACCTTCTGAATTTCTGTGGACTTGGAATTCACGTTACCTCATCCTCCTTTTTAAGTAGTGCCTGGCTTGAGAAGGTACTTGGTCTAATGTACATTTCTAGTGTTTACAAACACTCAGTGTGTATATGTAGTGACTATTCACTGATCCCTTGGCATCCCGAAACTGGGACTTCTCACCTGCTACAGAGTTTTAAACCAAACTGCAAGATTACCTCTTACTGAGCTCTGGAAACCACCTACGACTGGTCCCCACCTGTCTGTGAGCCGACTGTCAAAATGAATTTGTGACTACTGTTAGGAGTCTTTGGGGGGGAGCATATCTTGTTTTATGAATGTTGGGGGATTTTTCCCCTTTGAGTCCAGAGGAGGAGCCAAGAATACAGTGGCTGATGCAGTTCTTAATGCACTACCATAGGATTTGCATTAAGCAGCCGCTAAAAAAAAAAAAAATCTACTGTACAATTCATGGGATTAACCATCTTTAAAACAAATGAAATCTAATTTAATTGAGGCTTTGCTAATTTCTAAGTGTTAAGCATTTTACATTAAACAATATTCATTTAATATTTTTTGTTGTCTTCTCTGGGTGATTAACTGTTAGACCTTTGTCTAGAACTTTCTCTCTTGCTATCACATTAAATACTACACATTACTTAAAAAGCGCTTACACATCAGACGTTGATGCTTTGGTTAACCATAAAGATGGAGCCCATTTCCTTGGTGTTTGGGCCCAAATTCAGCCCTCCGACAGGTGTTAACTAGGGGCAGACAGAACTGAAGTGACACAGCCTGACAAAAGAAGCTGTCTCTAGAAATGACTGAATTGCCAAGAGGGGCTCACTTACGTGCTGCTGACAGCTTAACTTTATAATTTAAGAGTGTTTTCCAAATCTAAGCGAAAAGAAAGCAAATTATTCCTGTTAATAAAGAGAGGAACTTGACAAAAACAAACACAAAATGGGCTCAGCTCTCCTCACCAAAAGCCAGACTTTAGAGAAGAGGGTTATATTTGTGAGTGTTAATTAGTGAGGCCCACGCTTTTATTTTTTTAAACACCTGGGACTCAAGGCACCAGCTCGGGCAAAAAGCCATCGTCACCCTCGTCCAGTACTTAGAGAGCCTAAGGACTCAGTTTAAAATAACTTAAGGTCACACAGTAAGAGGTGCAGAGCTGAGGATACAGGAATTCAAAGTACTTTATTCTGGGAATATGTTATCATAGAAACTGAACCTGCCTACTCAAACATAGCAGTAGCATTGCAAAAAACGTATGGAAAGCCTTCTGTAGATGGGGAGAGACAACTTCAAAAATGTTATCACGTCCCAGGTGGTTGGGAGGGGGAGCCAGGGTTCGTAACCCAAGGGTGATGCTTACCTCCTCACCTCCCCAGAAGCCCCAGCACCATCGCCCCAAAACAGTCCTCCAAGGAAAACTATCACAGGTATGGTAAGTACTTGTAAACAGACTTAGGAGGCATACTGTGTAACTATAGTGTCCTAGCTGAAATTTAATGTATAGCACATGAGCATTTAGATCTTGGCCACATTTTTAAAAGATGCATGGCATATGAGAGAAGAAGAGGGCCCCATTAGCTTGATGTTCAGGGGATAAAGGAAACCTTAAGATAATTCCTTCAAGCAACGGACTGCAAACTGAGGTTCTTCCCAAGCTCTTTAGGAATGAGCCACCAAAAAAAGGGGTGTGTGTGTCTAATGTTAACATTTATATAGCACATGAGGTTTGCCAAGCACTTCACAAATCTCATTTTCCTTACAATAATGCTTGGAGGTAGCTGCTACGATATCCCCATTTTACAGATGAAGAAACTGATGCCAGCAGAAGTTAAGTGGCTTGCCCAAGTGGCTGAGATGGGATCTGAACTTGGGTTTTCTTGACTGCAGGGTCAGTGCTCTCTAGCACTCCTCTGTAACACTCCCCTGATGCCACACATACATATATACACACACATACTATCGAGGGAGTGCTGTGGATGAATCCTAATACCTTTGCAAAAAGGGAAGGTCCCTTTGGCCTAGGGAATCGGGGAGAAATAAGAAAAACAGGATGAAAAAGGAGACTGGGGAGCTCTGAACAGCTGGAGTGGGGTTCAAGCCAATTGGGTGTGTGTCCACACTTCTTCCACACCACGATGACCCAGGTCAGAAGCCGGACGGATCAAAGCTGTGCCCGTCAGCAGAGAGAGGCATCGGACAGCCTGGACGCGATAGGGAGAGGTGAGACAGATGCAGATCCAAGGCTAGCCAGGCCAGAGACTTCTTCCTCAAGTTCTTAAGTCCCACATGCACATGTGGCCGGCACCTTTCTTCCCTGCAGAGTCTGATTCAGTGATACTGGCCAGGGCCCAGTGGCTGTCCAGCATGCATGGAATTCTCTCATTTCTGCCTCCCGTCTCAGCTAAAATCCCCCTTCACAAGAAGCCTTTCTTGGTCTCTGTTTCAGTGCTACTCTTTTCTCTTGGAGACTTCCTGCAAATACCTGTTTTGCATGCTGGTCTCCCTGCATTAGAGTGTCAGCTCCCTGAAAGCAGGCCTGGCTTTGCCTTTCTTTGTATTGCCAGTGAATGCATCCCCAGTGCAGGCTTAGCACACATGGTTCCAAGCATACCCTCAGCAGGCAAGCCACCTCTCTGGGGGTGGAATGAGAACAGGAAGGTCCTACTGAGCCTCAGGTTGCACACAGATGCGCACAAATTTAGGGTCCCAGACAGCCTTAAAGGCTAGCCCAACCTTCTCATTTAACAAATAAGGGAACCAAGGCTCAGTCGGGAGGATCACACAGGTAGTCATGTCAGAAGCAGGATTGGAACCCAGAGCATCCTGGTTCCAAGTCCTGCACTCTCTCCATTATGCCTACTTGGTCCCTTGGGAGGCAGCCTTCCAGTCACAGTGCCGGCACATCCAGCAGGCTTAATGTACACCTGGATAAACGAACCAGCGATTAGCCAAGTCAGTGGGTTTCCTTTGGAGGGTGGGGGTGGGAGAGAAAATGGGAAACTGCTGCTTCTTGGAAGGGGGTTTCAAGGGGGATTTCACCCTAATTCCAAGTAGCTCTTAAGCCCAGCGGGAGTCTGACAGCCCTCAGTTCTCACAAGTGTCCAGGCAAGGGGCTGGCTGGTCAGAACGGGAGGTCATTTGCCTGATGCCTCCATTAGCAAGGCTCAAACACAGGGCAGCACAGCCCAGCCGCATCCAAAAGGAAAGCAGAGCCTGACCAACCTGGACCCAAGCACGCTGGCAAAATCCCCCACGCCCAGCTTTGCACTTTGTGACAGCAGTGGAAAGGGGCTTGTGGCCTGAGGGTCACGGTCAGCTGGCCAGCCAGCAATTCCTCCAGTGCCTTACAAAAACAAGCTGATGGGAAGGCAGCTGAGTTACTGCAGCTCTGCATGGTCAAGAATCCCAGGAAGCCTGGGTTTTCCTTGTATATTCATGTACTAATATAATTAACCAAAGCCCTCCTGTGATTGATTTCCAGCTGTATTTTAAGAACTCTGTTCACAGCAGCTCCCCAGAAGGGATGACTGCAGGTCACCTACCAGCTGGCAAGCTCATAAGGAAGCCCTGACTAGCGGCAGGTGGCATTCTCTCCCTCTTCTGCTGGAGACTGTGGGCTGGCAGGGAGAGTGCAGAGCAGAAGGCAAGCAACTATCCCAGACAATAAAAGCAGATGGCACCGTGAGAGCTAGTGAGACGGCAAAGCGGAGCCCGCGGCTGCCCCATCTCTGCCCCGCCCCTCGCCCGGGTGCCAGGAAAGGGACGCTGCAGGAGGACCAGCCTTCACGAGAGCCACACCCTCAGCCCAGTGTACATCACAAGGCATAGAACAGAAGAAACAGTAGGGCCAGGCTTAAAGCAGAAATTTATTAAAATCCATTTATAGTGTTTTTCAGAAAAATGTACAGAATATTTAACATTCAGGCAGCAGAATACTTGAAAGTGCTTTGTTGGATTTTTCTCCACTCAACACTTTTATAACTGGAAATGACACACTACCATGACAACAATCATCTCGGGTTAAGTACCCCTCTTCCACACTGGCAGCCCCATCCCCCTCTGGAGGGAGTTCAACAGAAATCAGTAGAAAGAACCCTCTGCAACGTGATAACAAACGAAGAGTCTTCACAGGAGCTACAGAAAGTCCCTCGTGTCCTAGCCGGGGCGTCCGCCGGGTGGCTGCTGGCAGGGCGGGCGTGCCCACCTAGCTCCGCAGGGTGGCGAGTCGGGACTGCATGGCTTCCAGATCATCCTCTTCCTCCTCCTCCACCGCCGCAGCCTCGGCGGCAGCTGTCGCCCCTGACGCCCCAGGCTCTGGAAGAGCATCCGTGACTTTGCTGGGTGCTTTGCCTAAGGCCCCTGGAAAGGAAAGAGGTTGTGAAGAAAAAGGGAAGAAACACCCGGCGTGGGCACCAGCTGAGGCGCCAGGGGAAGGAGACGAACCAGAAAAGCGCGCACGGCCTCACCTGCTGTGAGCTCAAAGAGAACCTTGTCGATCTCCATCTCTGCTGCTTCCTCCATGTCTTCCTGGTCGTCCATGCTTTCAAAGGTGTCTTCCAACATCTCCTCTATGATCCCCGCCTAAACGCCAAAGACAGCGCATTCCTGACCCACCCGCGCAGGAGAAGGGTCCTGTGCTCACACCAAGCCCCTCATCTGCTACCCTCCAGGGGGCCTCAGTCTCCTCACATACAAAATGGGGTCCCATGCTAGCCTATGGCATACCACAAAGGGCGCAAAAGGAGGAGTGGTGTCTGGTGAGACTCTGGAAATCCAGTCATGTCCGTCCTGACAAGCAGAAATCAAGACATATCTGGCACCTTTGTAATCATAATCTGCAAAGTACTGTATGTTTTTTCATTTGATCCTCACAAACCTAGAAGGTGGGTGCTACTATCTCCACGCTAGAAATGAAAAAACTGAGGCTCAAAGAGCAAAAGTATGGCTCAGGGCTACAGCTCCAGCTACAAAGTGAGGCAGGCTGGAAGAAAGAGCAAACAGAACTCTGAATCCCACCACAAAAAGCCATTAGGGTGACAGAGATGTTTCAGGATGACTCCAAACATCTAGAGTCAAAGACTCAAGGAAAGGTACAGGCTGGGGACAATTTCAACTAGAATTTGGAGAAGACATGAAGAGCTTTAAAATGTTTTTTATTAGAGTATTAGAGGAAAAAACTGGGAAAGAAAGGAAAGCTACAGAAGCAAGAATTGGAAAGAGAATTAACAGCTGTTCACACAAAACCTCATCCAAGCAGCAAACTCCTTGAAAATTAGAATGGACCAAAGAGAAGCCAATGCCTCCAAGAGAAAACAAGAAATATTGAAACAAAGTTAAGGCTGGGGAAAAAAAGAAAGGGAGAAGAAGAAAATGTAAGGTTACCTCCTAGCAAAAACAACTTGAAAAACGGATTAAGGAGAAAAAAGTTAAAAATCACTGGCCAGTTTAAATGACCAGGGAAAAAATTAAGCCTGGACGTGAGTTATCTTCACGGTGGGTTTACATGCCCAGCCTGGTGCTTACTGCCTGGGGACTGGGCTAGAATGCTCTGTGCCAGACACCCTGCCAAGAGACAAGCCCTGCCCTCGAGGACTACAAGCGAGGGCTGTGGGTAAAGGGGGGGACTTTGGTTTAGCCTGAGAGCCAGAGGACAAGTGGAAATCCAGGGGATCCACCCGTCACCTCCTGAAATGAAAACTCCTGCAACCTCACGGTCCAAATCCGGGGCTTTCAGGTCAAAGCAAAAACACTTCAAGCAGCAAAATGAAAGAATTCAAGGGCCGAGGAGCACCACAAAGGAATGGAGAGCCCAGATACAATGTTCCAGAAGGCAAAGGATGTACTTAGCAGCACGACTGAGCATAGTCCTACAGAGGAAAAACCGAATTTTTCATCAAATCGAGGTCTTTCAAGCATTCCCGATGGAAAGAGGAGCGCTAGTAGAATCTCTGAAGTTCAGAGAAACATGGAGAAGGTCAACCTAAGAGAAGAAGGAGAAGGGACTAAACCAGGATAAGCTGCTTTCATTCAAATATGGGGAGAAGATACATGCGTCTGTCCACTGCAAATCCTGTCATCAGCAGGGGTCGCAGAGGGAGTCCAACGAGACAAGGCCTGTTAGGCCCGGATGGTCTCAGGAGGTGGGAAAGGGAAGGGAAAAGGAAAGAAAGTGGAAGGGAAGGTTACCAACAATGATCTCACATAATCCATGTGCCCAAGCAGACGTCTATCCAAACAAGGAGGAGGGGTAGAAGGGGCAGAAGACATCTGACCCTCACTCTCATGTGGACTAGGCAGTGGCTTTCTGAGGTGGCAAAGAATGGAAATCTGAGGGGTGGGGGAGTGCGGGAGCGCCGATCAGCTGGGGAAGGGCTGAAGAAGTTACACACGTGACAGAATACTCCGGACAGACTGTAAGAAAAGATGACGACGACGCCATGCTTTGTGACCTCTCTCTCTCTCTCCCCAACTCTATCCTGAGCCCTCTTTCCTCCTTTCTCTTGGGGATCTCATCAGCTCTCACAGATTGAACTGCCCTACCTGGGCATGGTCTCTGGCAGCCTCCTGCCTGCCTTCAAGTCCAATTAAAATCCCTCCCACAGGAAGCCTTCCCCAAGTTCAATTCTAGTGCCTTCCTTATTTCCAGTTTGTCCTATACATAGCTTGTTTGGACTTAGTTGTCTCCTCCATTAGACCATGAACTTGAGGGCAGGGACTGTCTTTTGCTTTCTTTGTATCCCCAGTACTTAGCACAGTGCCTGGCACCCAGTATGTGCTTAATACTTACTGATTTGTTGATAACTACAAAAAGGTTATGTAATATTGGAATGTTCTTTGATCATATAATATTCATACATTCACTTATAAATATATTTGGTCCTGGAGTTTTTTCTTTGGGGAGTTCATTTATGACTTGTTCAACTTTTTTTTTCTTGATTTTTGGGTTAAACGGTCTATTTCTTCTTTTGTTGATCTGGATTATTTTATATTTTTATTTATTTCCTCTAAGTTAATGGTTTTGTTACCATATTTTGCTAACAAAATAGTTTCTAACAATTTCCTTTATTGCTTCTTCAATTGTTCCAAATTCTCTTTTGTCATTTTTAATATGACCAATTTGTTTTCCCCCTCTCTTTATGAAAATCACATTAGCTGTTTTATGTATTTTTAAAGTATTTTTCCTCCCAAAAAATCAGTTCCTAGTTTTATTTATGAATTCATGAAATTGCTTTCAATTTTTTAAATCTCTTCAATAATTTTCAGAATTTCTCCTCTGCTGTTCAGTTGGGAGGTTTTGATTTGTTGCTCACCTTTTCTTAGCTGTGTATCCAATCCATTGATTTGTTCTTTCTTTTGTTGATGAAAGCATTCACAGTTATAAAATTTCCCTTGAGAACTGATTTAGCTGCATCCTATAGGCTTTGGTATGTTGTTTCATTAATATGTAATTTTCATCGAAGAAAATTTAAAATTGTTTATCTAGTTCTTTGACATACCAGTTCCTGAAAAGTTATTTAGTCTCCAAATTTTAATTCGTCACTCTAAAGCCCTTTAACGAGCATCCTTTTTATTGCACTGTAAATGGCACGTTAGTATTTCTACTTGTTTTACATTTTTTGATGAAGCCCTTATGCCTCAACACAGGGTCAATTTTTAAAAATTTTTTTCATTTATTTTTTATTTTATTTTATTTATTTATTTTGGTGAGGCAATTGAGGTTAAGTGACTTGCCCAGCATCACTCAGCTAGTATCATGTGTCTGAGGCCGGATTTGAACTCAGGTCCTTCTGACTCCAGGGCCAGTGCTCTATCTGCTGTGCCACCTAGCTGCTCCTAGGGTCAATTTTTGTAAGGATGTAAACTGAGAAGGATGTAAATTCTTTCCTGTTCCCATTTATTAATCACCTCAGACTTATCTCTAATTTTTCTAAAATTCTATTCAAGTCTTTAACTTTTTTCTTATATTTGTCTAAGTTTCAAAGGAGAAAATGTATTTTCAATACATCTAAACAGAACCATTTTAAGGAATAAATTTATAATGATTTTCTCATACTTCACAGAATTTAAGACCACATATTTATATTTTAACACAAATCTCAGTCCCTGGCCTAAGGGTGACCTTTCAATTCATCTAGGACTTGGTCCTTTTCCCATAACTATCATGAGGTAACTGTAAAGGAAAAAAAGAAAAAAAGAGAGAAGCTGAGAGCGAGAACGGTACATCAGAGAGGACACTGGATTGGAAGTCTTTGGACCTGGGTTCAAATCCTGGCTCTTCTACTTAACTGCTCACGTGACTTGGGGCAAATCCCCTCCCTCCTCTGGGCTTCAGCTTCCTCATGTGTGAGAGGAAGGAAGGGCTGGACGAGAGATTAGGGGTTCTCAAAAGGTACGCTGTGGCATGCTGCTTTCCCTAGGTATATTTCAAAGCTCCCCAAATCCTTGGAACTTCCACATTCCCCAGTTTCAGCGTGCGGACTCTCCCTCCCAGCATGGTGTCGGGCGGCCGCCATAGCAGCCAGCAAGAAAAGAAAGAGTCAGGAGGTGGCTGAAGATGAGAAGAGGGGCTGCAATTCTTCACAAGAAATACTGTGCCAGGAGAAAAAAAGTTTGAGAACCACAAGGCTCAGTGGCCTCTACGATTTCATTTAGGTCTAAATCTATGATCCTGTGGATCAGGCCTCACCTTTCCGTAAAACATACGCCTAGATGTCTCCTGGCACTATTCATGTCCTGAAGGATGTATTTCCAGGACATCCCACGGAATTTCTCTGGAGTCCATAACCCAGAGGGTCACCATGGGATTCTGGAACCAAACGTCTCACCTTCATCATCTCTTTGGACAGATCCCTCATGGTTGCCTGGATCTCTGGAATCTTCACTAGGCTTTGCATGGCTCTCATCACTTCTGTGCTCTTCTGTAAGGAGCCAGCCACTCGAAGGACAGCTGGAAGGGGAAAGTGTTTTCACCATGAGTACCACGGTTTACCTTGCCAATGACACAGCCAACCCTTAACTGCACTAATGGAAAGTCAAAGTCACTTCCACATCCCTGGAGGAAGTCTGAGCCCTGAGGGACCTGGTTCAGAATTCCCTGCTTGCTGCATCCCAGAGCCACTCCCAGGGACAATGGGAGGAGGAACACCTGTCTTCCCCTCGTGGCTGCTGTTCCCGTGTGACAGTGTCACTCCTAGGGAACAGTTTCCTCCCCTACTGCACTGAGAAAAAGTCAGTCAGTCAAGTAGGAGGAGAACCAGGAGAGAGTTGTGTCATGAAAACCTAGAAGAAGGTAATCATGTCAAAGGCTGCAGAGAGGTCAAGAAGGATGAAGACTGAGAAAAAGGCCATTGGATCTGGCAGTTAAGGGATGATCAGTAACTCTGGAGAGAGTAGTTTCAGCTGAATAAAGATGTTGGAAACCAGACTGCAGGGTTTAGAAGCCAGTGAGAGAAAAGGAAACGAAGAGATTGTGAGCATTGATGAAATATGGTGGAGTCTATGACAGTAAAAAAGAGAGTTGGAAGAGGGATGGATTTGGGATGAAAGACTACACAATGAGGTCTCTGACGCTGATCACAACCATCTAGGTCTGTTCATGCAGTAAGACTCACTCTGTCCTCTGCCAAACAACAAGGGGAGCAGGAGGGAGTGAGGCTTTGACAAGTCAGGGCCTAGAGCGTGGAGCCAGATCTTCAGGGGCCTTGCCAAAGCCACGTGGGATGGGGGGAAAAGTCTGAGTGTGCTGGATGGCAGCTGGGGGTACTCCAGGTGACCAGGTAGCTGAAATCTCAGTGCCAAGGGACGCTCAGAGAGAAGGAAGCTGGGAAAGGGGAGAAAGGTGGTGGAATGGCGGATGGATTCAGTGGCTCCAGGAGAGGTGTGGCTGTGTTCCAGACAAGTCTCATGACTGGCCATTAGCAGGAAGGTGGGATTCAACTAGACTTCCATCCTCAGGTTGATTGATCAAACACTCCTTAGGGTCAGGGCCAAGGGCAAGGCAAAGGTCACCATTCTGCAGACTGCTGCCTTAAAGTATACTCAATTTATTCCCCCCCCACCAAAAAAAGTACAGAGAAGCAAAATCTCTCTCTAGTCACTACACTTAAAAATCCTTTGAAAATAAAAAGAATTACAGATTGTGTTGTTATGATATAGGAAAGATATTTACATTAATATAATAAAGTTTCTATTGACAAAAAGAATAGAATAAATCAAATCATAAATATAAAAAAATTATTAATAAGAATAAAAAAGGAAAAGAAAACATGAAGGAAAATTTTTATGTAAATACAGAACAATCTATTATTTATAGAGTGCTAGCAGATTTTAAATAAGTCTATTGACAGAAGTTAAGAGAAGGAAGATTTGGTAAAAGAGAAAAGAAAACACAACAAATGACACAAAGAAATGAAGATCTATCATTAAATGTAAAAGGACATCCTTTCAGAGTTATTTAGCCAAGATGGGGGAAATTGATCCTTAAAAACGTGTACTTCAAAACATCAACAGCCTGTGATTTACCTGGTGGGGGCACTGCTCCCACCGCTACCCATCACATCCTCTGGCTTAGACTCAATGAAGAGTCTCAATTCAAGAGTTCCTGTGGCAGAAAAATTTAACATCATTCTACGATGGACTGTAACAAATGACAGTACCAAGATATACCTGAATTAAATAAAATACTAGAAAATTTAATTAACAAAATCAATTATAATTACTATAGTTAACATTTCTATAGCGCTTTATAAGGTTTGTGAAATGCTTTACAAATGTTATCTGATTTGATCTTCACAACAACCCTGCAAGGTAGGTGCTGCTATCCCCATTTTACAGATTGAGGACACTGAGGCAAACAGAGACTAAGTGACTGGCCAAGGTTTACACGGCCAGTAAGTGTCTGAGGCTGGACTTGAACTCAGGTCTTCCTGACTCCAGGGCCAGCCCTCTTATCCCACTGTGCCATCCAGAAGCCTGTTGTTTTTTTTCCCCTCCAGAACACATAACTTTTTCTTAAAAGTTCTTATTATCCTAGAGAAAACAATCCCTGAGTTCACAGATAATATGCTGGTACTTTTCACAGATTACCACAGTGAAGTGGAGAGGCTACAACACACACTTCAGGAAGACCAAGGCTACTAAACCCCATAATTAAGAAAGGAAAGACACTGAAAGAATAACGGGGGACATGTGACTTACCATCCATAAGGAGACCTGACACTAGGATTGATATAAGCAAGGCAAATGCCAAATGGCAAATATCCTGCCACTGAACACGTGAGGAAGCAAAGGGAAAAACAGACTGAGCACTTAACCAGAGGATTAAAGTAAAAGTCAACAAAACGCCTCAGACTTTACATAAGATTTAAACAATCAAAAAAGAGGAGAAATAAACTGCAGACAGAAAACTGAGGAGCTAAAATAATGACTGTGGCTCCCGTTTTCACAGAACTTCACAGCTCCTCAGCGCTGACCTGGCAGATGAGACCCTCAAGAGAGCTGGAGCGACCTGTACAAAATCACCCAGGAACAAGCGGCAGAGACAAGGTGAAAACACGGGCCCAAGACCAATGTGTCTTACATAGGTTTTTGGCATATAAAGAGGGAACAAAACACACAGACCTCCTGATCAATCTAACCAGAACTGAATGGGTAAAAAGAAAAAGAGTCAATCATTTTCAGTGCTAAAACACAACAGAAAAGAAACCTTTTTCGTTCTTATAAATCATTATAGGTAGGAGGACCCGAGTTCAAATCCTGCCTCAGACACGTAACACTCACTAGCTGTATGACTCTGGCCAAGTCATTTAACCCCAATTGCCTCACCCCCTGCCCCCCAAAAAGAATTAAACAACCTGAAAGAAACTGAAGAAATCAAGAGAATCAAACAACTGTACAAACAACTTTCAGGGGTCAGAGGACTGAACTCTCCCAAGCTCATTAACAATTAATAATTCCAAGTGTCCTTGAAAGTTTTGAAAGTATTTTTAAGACAAAAAATTATCCCTGCACATTTTGAAAGAAATAGAGATGATAAATTATCCCTGCACATTTTGAAAGAGAGATGATAAATATTGATTCTAAATCCTAATACAAAAGAAAATTACTGCCCAGTATTCCTAAATGCATATGGATGCTAAAAAATGAAACATTCTAACACTAAAAATTTTCACAGATTATATTAATATATACAAAAATAAATTCAGTTAGGGAGCAGGTAAATTTAATTTTGGAATCTGCACAATGCTTTCAATGATCAGAGGGCAGCACAGGTGACAGCAGATAGAGCACCAGGCCTGGAGTCAGGAAGACTCATCTTCCTGAGTTCAAATCTGGCCTTAGATATTTATTAGCTGTGGGACCCTAGGCTAGTCACTTAACTTTGCCTCAGTTTCCTCATCGGTCAAATGAGCTGGAGAAGGAAATGGCAAGCCACTCCAGTATCTTTGCCGAGAAAACCCGAAAAGAGGTTACAAAGAGTTGGACACGACTGAAATGACTGAATTCAATGATCAGAAGCTTTTATATATTACAAGAGTGTTCCTATCAGTGAGAACAGAAGTATCAGCAACAAGTGTAAAGCCTCTGAGCCTCACAGCCCCAGCCTCGAGGGCTCAGGCTGTCTGCTCACATGCCGTGGGAGCCCGGGCACACCACCGTTGTTTGCTCACTGTTTCCTCTGCTGCATTTAGCTCCTTGAGGGCGTTTTCCCTTCCTTTGTATCCTCAGCATTTAGCCCAATGCCTGGCACACAGCTGTCACTTAATAAATGCTTATCATGAAGTCAGGCATTCGGTCCCTATTCTCATCTATCTGCAAGTCCTTGTTTCCCCACTGAAGAGCATAAGCTCCTTGAGAACAGGGAATGTTTCACTCTTTGTCACTGGACAAAGTGTGCCTTACTCAGTGCCCGGCACACAGCAGGTGCTTAACAAATGCTTAGCGATGGACCATTAGGCAGATGACTCCTGGCTCCAGATAACCAGCCTGAGCATTGCTCCTGATCACTGATGTTCTGAACAGCAGCTTCTAGAAGCATCTCAAACTCACCGGCTTTCTCCTCCAACCCACCCTCTTCTGCAGCTGCCTTTTTCTGCCGAGGGCACCGCCATGCCATCCTCATACACCCAGATCCACAAGCTCAGAGGCATCCAAGGCATCCGAGAAGCTGCCAAGCCTTGTCAGTCACTGTCTCAAACCCTCCCTCCCCTCACATGGCTGCTTTGCCCTCTCTACTGTAATGGTCACTAGCTAGCAGACCACTGGAATCGTCTCCAAATTAGCCTAATAAAACAACAAATTAAAAAATCCCAATTAAACACCAAAAGAGACATCCTGAAAATCAAAGGAGAAATTTGTAAAACAGAAAAAAATCACCAAACTAATACACAAAACTAGGAGCTGGTTTTATGAAAAACCAATAAAATGAATAAAATATTGGCTAATTTAAGAAAAAACTGTCAGTATCAAAAATGAAAAAGATGACTATACAAACAACAAAGATGAAATAAAAGCAATTATTAGGAGCTGTTTTGCCCAATTATATGCCAATAAAACTGGCAATCTCAATGAATGGATGAATATTTACAAAAATAAAAATTGCCCAGATTAACAGAAGAGGAAATAGAATACTTAAATAACCCTATCTTTAAAAAAATTGAACAAATTATAAATGAGCTCCCTAAGAAAAAAATCCAGGACCAGATGGATTTACAAGCAAATTCTACCAAACATTTAAAGAACAATTAATTCCATTGCTACATAAATTTTTTGAAAAAATAGGTAAAGGAGTCCTAAGAAACTCCTTCTATGACACAAATATGGTTTTGATACCTAAACCAAGGAGAGCAAAAAGAAAGAAAACTGTAGACCAATTTCCCTAATGAATACCAATGCAAAAATTTAAATAAAATACTAACAAGGAGATTACAACAATATATCACAAAGATC